AACAAACCAACTGAATGTGTTGTACTGCAAAACCCAGCAGCACCTCTGCCTCAGCACCCGGTCACCCACCTTTGCGTTCTGCTGCTGCAGCCCCCCATGTCTCCTGGTCAGTTTGATTTTCTACCCCACTGTTATCACTGGGACCCTTTCCGGAACCTGACTGCTCTAATTGTAATCTCCCAACCTTCACGCTTAATAAACTGAAGATCAGTTTGTAGACCCTTCCAAGGTAATGTTGGTCTCAATCGGCTAAAACAGTTTTCTCCCCTCCCTTGTGTCTCACTGCAGAAGGCAAAGTGGGGAAAAACAGGAGGAAGGAAGAGGAAAGGAAACTTCAGCATGCACACATACACACTTACACACACATGCATACACACATACATAAATGTGTATTTATTTGTCTATAGTATACCTAAAGTCTGATTTACAAATATGGGATGTATATCTAATTATGAATGAAAGGTGAATTCCTGAATCCACAGAATTGTTAGCTGCTTCGGCTAATGACTCCAAGTTTTGCTTCCATTTACATGAGGCAATTTTGGAGCAAAGCTCACTGGTAAACCAAATCCAACAGCTGTGGTTTGATTCAGTATGTTGGTCATACCCAGAAGAAGTCCCATGAAAATTCTCCCAACAAAACCCAATGCCCATGAGGGACATGAGAAAGGTGTGCTCACCACTGCAGGGTTTAGTGCTAAGGGAGCAAACAAAATGGTACATAAAAAGATCATACGCAGTAGTAATATCACACTTACAGTGCTTAAGGGATTTAAGAGAATTATAGAATAGTTAGGGTTGGAAAGTACCTTAAGATCATCTAGTTCCAACCCCCCTGCCACGGGCAGGGGCACCTCACACTAAACCATGTCACCCAAGGCTCTGTCCAACCTGGCCTTGAACACCACCAGGGATATAAATCAATTTTAAAAAATATTTTTTTCAGGGATGGCAAATAAATTAAGAACATTTCCTTCAAGTGCTACAGCCAAGGCGATACAACTCCATGTGTAGATACCCTCAGAGTAAGAACATACTTTCACAGTTAAAACCAATTCTACTGTGAACAGAGATGAGATTAAACCAAAGTAAGCCATTCTCAATGTCAGCCTATGCCGTCATAATTCCACAGGTGTTCTGGAACGTCAAAGACCAACCACAGATAAGAAGGAGCAATTCCCAACTATGTATTTCTATTTTCTCATTCCCTTCCATTAATATTCTCCCATAAATGCCACTGAATTAAAATATCTTAGACCTCATCTGAGAAATTATAGGGGCATTTCTGTGAAATAATATTAGTTGTGAAAGCATTCACAGGCTATTGTTCTATTTATGTGTAACTTGAAAGCATTTTTACTGTAGAAGCATAACCTCCAAACAAAATGACTGACAAAGTCTTAAATTCCAAAAAGCAGCAAAAACCTCCTGAATCTAATTTTAAACAGTTTTTAAAAAAAGCAAGTTATGATGAGATTTCTTAACCCAAGTCATTAGTCATTAGCTGTGTTAACATTTGCAGCATATTATGGGCATTAATCAGAACACATTTTAACTTGAGTGCAAAAGTTTGGGACTTTCCTCATATGACCTTCCTTGTGTACTGCCGAGGCTCAGCTCTTGTTGACATTTAATCTGAGCATAATCCCCAAAATCTCTGTGCCATTGCTGGGTTGCATGGGAATGATTCAACAACAATGCACATGGAATTGTGATGCAAATTTTATTCTCATCTCACGGCTGCTCCCCTTCATTTCCATCTGTTGCAAATTATTTGTTTGAATGCAAATAAATAACCTATACCTTTTATTTGTTATTGAACCATATAGTACCTAAAAATGAAAGCAAGTCTGACACTTCCTCTTTCAGTTCTTTTTCTACTGATGGCTACCATATTTTTAAGGGTGCAAAGTCCAGAAAATAAACAGAATTCAGCAGCTGCTGAAAAGCCTGGGTTATGAGCTGTGGTGGCTTGAACCACCCATCGACTGAACAGGAGCAAGACCACACTGCAGCAGAGGGATGAGGGTTCCGGCTGTGGGTACTTGAACCGGACTGTGGTCTTCTGAATGAGCAACTGCCTTTACAAAAACATACACTTAAACAGGTTTTTCATATTCAAAAATGCCTCTGATCTGTGAAGCCAACTGCCTTTTTGTCATGAATGCTGTGAAAAATCAGAGTCCAAGATATCCACATTCGTGACTTTTGGCACTTGTGCAAGGGTAGGGGCTGATTAAACGATGTCTGAACAACACTAATTAAACTGAGGCAACACAGCAATTTGTCCTGCAGGAAAGCATGGAAAAGCCCAGAAATCACTGCAACAAGATAAATGTGGATCTCATTGTTCTCTGTGTGCTAAGGATTTCGCAAGTATTTTTTCCCTGCATTCAGAATTTCCCCCCTGCACTCAGAAAATACCTTGGTAGGCAAAGCAGAGCACTAACTTTAATCTTGCTAATGCAGGTCATAAAAGCACTAAATCATACAGGAGTATGAGCTCTGGTATGGGATGGACAGACCTACCCACTGACCTGCATACTTAGTTCAGCAACAATTTAAGTGTCATTATAGTTCAAGTGAGCTAGCACTGGTCTACCTACATTTGCTGTGGTGCAATTTCTGCTTGAAGCAGTGTTTGGCTCTTATTGAGACTTATTTCCTGAGTGACCCCAACATTTTCTCCTCCATCTGTAAAGGAAGTAAATAAAATGAACAAGAAAAATCATTCCCTGCAAACGATTAACTCAATTTAAGAAACTGTGAAAGGATGACAGATAAACTAATCTTAAATTTTAGGAACTTTTAGTTTGCAGCAGAAGGCTTGCTTTGTTCAGCATTCTCCCTGTGCATTAACACCTTCCCACAAGGGCATTTCCTACACAGTGTTGACCAAGCTACAAAGGACCATAATTCCATGAGAAAAGTGTTCTGAAGCATTCATAAATATCATTACCTCTAAGTTACTTCTAATGCTAATCTGTTCATACATATAAACACGTATCCTATTTCAAAGGTGCTCCTTTGGGCTGGGGTGGAGAGGACCTTTCAGTTCTTCTGCTCTTTAGAAAAGCTAAACTCCCCTGGAAAAATAGGAGCTACTCCTCTAGTCCTCTGTTTCCTACAACAGTGTGGCTTGATCCAACTGACAGCTACTTAAGTCAGTGTGGAGCTGTTAAGTGTTTGGTTTAGGCCATGTAAGAGCGAGAAACTGAGAAACATGCTTTTACCTGGCCTTCATCTAGCTACAGTGCCACCACTAATGAGTGGCTGCTACAAGACCTTTTGAAACAGTCGTATGAGATACGAATCAATGAACACAATGCAAACACCATCCCTACCTCACAGAGGGGAAAAATCATTGCAGCTTTATCATAAATATTTCTAGGTGTCCTGGTGCCAGCCTTCTGCCAGAGGAATTCAGTGATAGGGAAGAGCAAGGTCTGTTTGCAGTGCAGTCCTCCCCAGGGAGGTGCATTTCACGGCTCCCGGCCAAAGCCTCCAAAACGCCTCCAGGGTAGCAGTTGGGCTGGAGCTGCCCCATCACGCCCTTCCACTGCAGCCAGATTTGCCTATTTCTGCAGCTGGCACCACCAACGGCTACAAAAACTTGTAGTCAGCACAATCCCTTCCAGACTGACTTTTGAGTTTCTCCAGCTAATAAATGCTGATAGCAGTGCACAGGCTGGCAACAACTGTAAGCACAGTGCACACAGGAGGGTCTCCACCTCTCGGTCTTTTTCATAAGAATTTCTGCACGACTGTTACCATCATGGCCCTCATTAGCCTCAAAAGCAAACTGGCCACCAAACCAACTTTTAAAAATGCCATTTCACCTAGCACAGACACAACAAAATTGTTTTTGCTCAGTGTTTCCAATCCCCACAATAACAGTGCCGTACTCAGAGCGTCATGATGGAGAGAAGCTATGCTGCTTAGTCCAATGACTCAGCAGTGGTTTCTTCCTTTGCTGCTCCAGAGGCACCAAGAAGCGACTCGGGAGCTTACATCGTGATGCTAAATACATGTTCACTATGCAGCTAATCCTATTGTTTTCAAGACAAAACAACAAGTCTATGCAGCCTACAGCTACTAGCGATGTACATTCTACTTGTACACCATGTACTACCTAAATGAAAAAGCACTTTTCAGTAGTGAAATGCTTTTAATAACATCTCCCTTTGCAACCAAAAACTCAGACAACATAAAAAAAAATCAGAAAGAAAGCAACCAAGGATTATAAACAATATTACATATGTAGGTGTATCTCACACGATTTTTGGAATAACACAGCTGAAACAGCAGCAGTGCTCAGGAATTCCATGACCCCTTCCAACAGAGAACTGCAAAGGGCTTTTACAAATTAGAGGTCCTATAGACAATTAAGCACTACCTATTATCATGTAAAGTATTGCAAAGCCTGAAGAGTGAACTATGCGTGTGAAGTAAAAAAACCCCAGACATGTGTGCAAGCAAATCTGTATGTGCAACTACCACTGCCCTGTGAGATAAGTAAAAATATACATAACAGAACAGTCATTATTTCTCTATCTTTCTGTTGTGAGCCTTCGACAACAGTGGCTTTGTTGCAAGCTTGCAAATTAGCTGCATGATGGAAGACCACTCACTTGAAAGCTCATTGAAGCTCACAGGGTTGGGTTCTGTTGTGTTGCTAGCTTGATGCAAAACTTGATGTGTGTCCCTAACCTGATTCTTATCCAAAGAGAAAAGATCTTAGAGGTATGGAGTGGTGCTGTGAGCTTGAGCAGATGGCCCACAGGCAGTCGGAGGAGACAGCTCAATATCATTAGGGATAACAATGCTAGCAATGCAGATAGGAAGCAGAAGCTTGTATTTCAGCATCCTCCTCAAATGCTAAGCCTGAGAGAGACTGTCTAGTGTGTACAAAGCACCAGGATCCAGAGGCTCTGGAGGAAAAGGCACAGCCAGCTCATATCCACATTCCTACACTCTCTTCCCCTGCAAAACATGGTTACCTTTTCAATAATGCCTGCTGAGAACAGTCCCTCGCCATCCCGCCACAGGTGTCATCTGGGGGTGTGCTAGCTGGCACAGGCCAAAACCGTATCACGGAATGTGCTAGAAACGAAACAATATGGACAATCATAAGATACAAGTCCTGGCCCTGATTAACTTACCAGTGCCGAAAAAGCAGTGTTGAAGCAAAGTGGAAGTGTAGTCTTTCAAGCCTGTTGCTGCAGTTAAAATATAAACATCAGAAACAGGGCGGTACAGCAGGACCAAAGAGTGAAACTCCAAAGTTTAGACTCAGCCACAACACGATCATGTCAGCACCACAAGAAAGCAGGAAGCTTTCAAATAACTTCTAAACACTAAGTCAAATACTTCTCAGAAAATAAAAAGGCCATAAGATGAGTGCCACAATAGATATCAGGGTGCTGACAAAGGCAAAGTGTGAAACGGATGCTTTCCAGCACTCAGTTTAGGAAGACAAACATTGTTTCACAAATTCACTGTAGCCCTGCATATTTCCAAACTCCATAACTCACGCCAAAGTACTTGGACTTTCTGAACATCCTGTTCTGTTTCCTCCACTGCTAGTCTGAGTCCTCAATGCTAAATGTCTTTATTTCAGAGCCGCATTTTCTATCATTTTATTCCAAACTCCTCATTCTTTAGGCTTTGCATTTTACCTCTGGGTAAGAGTGAAGACAAGCAAATTAATGAGAAGTCTGAACAGCACATTAAGTTACACCTATATTAAGAGGTTTCCACAGTAAGCATCCCAAGGCACTGTATAAAAATAAACCCGCACAAATCGCACTTGAAGCTAACAAAAAGCTTGTGGACTCTGGCATGCCTTGAAGCATAAAGATTGATGATTAAACGATTCCACAGTTCCCAAAGTCTCAGAGCCACATGAACACAGACCATTTTACCTGTCATTGCCTGGATGCATTAGCAATCTGCCTGGATGTAAAGCTGAGACATCTCCATGATGGCCTACTGGCAGGAAAAATATTCCCCCCTGACAAGGGCAGGAAAACAGCTTTAGCCTACAATCTGCAGCTGGCCATTACAGGGATTTCCTAACTAACTGATTGCAATGCCTCCTGCACCTCCTGCTTTCCCTCTTCACAGCTGCAAGAAGTTCAAGGTATAGTGGTTTCATGAGAGTGACTACAGTAGCTAAGGCTTGGGCACAGATAGGAACGTCCTCTCATCCTAATGACTTTCAGCTCCCAAATCCACTGCTCTTGAAACTCCACCAACTCCACAAGAAACAGAAGCAAAGGCTCTGGCATGGCTGACATGCACACTAGGCCCAGCTCAGCCACCTGTACAGATCTACTACCTGGCTGCTGGGATAAAGTGACATGGGAGAAGGCATTTCTCTTGGTATGAGAGGAACTGCTGGCAAAGAAGTGCCAGGGCGCTTGTTGCTGCTGGTGGTGCGGAACACAACACAGTCCACTTGCTTCCTACTTCTCTGATGTAAGACTTCCCACCTTGGTTCCTTCCTATTCTTTCCCATGGCAGCCTTTCAGGCTGAGTCCAAAACATGCAGTCAGAGATACAAAGAAACAACTGTGACCTTATTTGCCTTAAATAACTGCATTTCCACACTGTCTGGTCAGGGTGCCCAAGCAGACACCAGGCACAGCAGATGCTCCCATGGGAACCTTAGACCCTGATAATACCTTCAAAGTGCCCCAATAAGCTATCTGGGTGACCCTGCATTTGGTCACAGTCTCATCAGGAGCTGCTGCTGGCTGTCAGTACCTATGTCACCAGCACAGCTACAAGCAGCAGGCACAATCCTGCTGTGCTTCAAAACCCCATGTCCTCCATACAACCCTTTTCCAGGAATCCTCACTTCCAGCTACGGGGATGACCACAATGCTGTCTGGTAAGCACCACTGCTGTGTGAAGCTCCCACTTAATTCCATCTTGTCCTGTCATTTTGAGGCAGAAATGGTTAAAGCAGTGTACACGTAACAAGCTGGTCCTTGCTGAGATTTATTTCCCTCCTTGATATAATTTAGGAGAAAAGAACCAAGTGATGCATTTGCAACCTCTTGAAGCAAGATCAACTTTGGCTTGCAAACCCCTATCAAACAGCAGTTGTAGATCATGCTAGATCAACCCTACTTTAAAATTATGAATTTATTGACACACGCAAAAGAGGGAAAGGATATAAATGGCACAAATGGTAAGTGGACAGTAGGCTGTGGCTGCAGCAGTGAAGTCAAGCTAAGGCCCCAGGGCCATAAAAACTTAAAGCTGTTCACATTGTTACTTTGTGTGCAGCTGAGGTGATCATCAACATATGAACATTCTAGAATTTACTTGAAAATTAACTAATTAATCTAGAATTAACTTGAAAAATGTTACGGTGGCCAACACAGTGACATTTGAAGAGTACTGACTTTAGAGAGTTAGCTGAAACCAGAGCTACAAACTAATGAGGGGGACATGGAATAACATCAACATAAGAAGAACCAGAGGTCCTGAACAATGGTGGAATCCCATTGTGAAACTAGCTCAAGAATATGTATACAAAATCAACCGAACAAAGTTGATGCTTCAATAAAGAAGGCCTGGAGGGATAAGACTTCAAGCGGACGCTGCTTGAGCAAGGAACACTTTCCTCACCATCTGGCTTAGAAAACACGGATTCCAGAGTGGCCTTCTAATCACCAACAGGAAAACAGGGAAACTATTTTAAGTAAGCATCAGTAAAAATAAAATTGGAGACGCAGTGAAAGGAAAAAAGAAAGTGGTCAGTGATACATACATTGCTATTTGCACTTTTAATGCTATTTATATTTGAAAGCTTTGCCTTTGAGACACTGACAGGTGGGCTTCCACATTCATCAGCCTGGGATTTGTCCAAGTATCCAGTATTTACGGAAACATGCAAAGGCCAAAGGAAATAAAAAAGACATTCAAATTAATTTCTGTCATAATTAGGGATTATTACTATCAACTCCCATTCAAATTCAGCCACGTATGAACAAAACATTTCCCAGCATCACACTGATACATATTTTGAATGCTCTCCATGAAATCCTACTCCAGCAACATATCACACCATGAAAAATCTAATGCAAAAGTTTGACATGGTCTGACACAATTCAAGTTGTCTGGAGATAAGCTGTTTCAGATTAACTGGTTGTGTGGGCTTAATTCCCCAAAGCCAAACACTTAACGTCATTCAGGACACCAGCGCAGCACGTGTGATGGAAGGGACACATGGAACCTGTACATCGAATCACGACACAGCAAATCTGGAGGAGAGCATCCGTGAGAGTGGGTTGACTGCTGCGAGAATGATAGCATGCTGAAATACCCTGCACAGTCCTTTCCCAACACATAGCATTTGGCTCCTCAGAAGCTAAGGCATTTGAAATGGGAAGTGTAGCTCCTCTTGCGCATCCCTGAAGTTCGTCAGAAAACACTGTGAGCGTGATTAAGAATCAATCACATTAATGAACCCATTTAGAAAATGAGAGCTAAGATGCATGCTGCTTCTCTAGTAACTTGGATGATCTTAGTTTCAGAATCAATTGGCTGCTTTCTGCCCAAATTGAAATTTGTAATTAGCTTTGTCCATGTGTCAACACCGTTTAGCTTAATTAGCTAGCCTTCTTCTCTAGCAGACCCTTCCCTGATCTATTTATTAAGAACTATCTTATCATGCCTCAGGCTTTATTGCTAGCCTATTATGCTAACGTACAGGCTCTCAGAAATACTTTTCTTTCTGTACTTGTCCTCGTTTGAATTGTTCTTGAATTCAAAACCCAGAATTACGTACAATGCAACACACGACATCTCATTTTGTATGCTTTTCTTCAATGACTGTAAAATTTCCATGCCTTCATCACCTTCACATTACCCCTATTCCACTCTAGATCCATACTGATCTTTCCAGAGGCAACATTACTTATTCCTTTAGGTCTGGAGATTTGCCTTGTTCTGATACAAGTTTCAAGTACTTTCAAAAATATTTTCTCTACTTTTAAATGTCTAGGCTTTTTAGTCCAGCCATCTTACCACCTACCAACATTACCACCTTGTTTCCTTAATTTCAAAGCCTATTCTTTTGTTAGAAGGAGCATTATTTATGGACCTATGTTTGCTTGTGCTTGTATTAAATTTAAACAGAAATAATTACATGCATGTTTCATCCAATATTATTTAGTATGATCAACTCTTCTATAGTATCTTCATGCTACATGAAAATGAAAACTGAGAGAGCACATCAACATCTCAGTTCAGAACCCCTTTTTAAGAAGAAGTCACATTCATTGCCTGTCACAGCTGGCACCCAAGGCAGTCAGTGTCCTAAGTTTCCAATCTACTGAGCGATTTACAGCTGTATTTCTACAAGCAAAATAAACATGGCCAAGATTGCTGAGGCCAACTGGCATAGAAAGGTGCCATGCTATTAAATTCTCTCACCTTCCAAAACAGGGTGGCTACTTTCAAACTGGCTACTGGGAATAATCCCATGGTAATTTTCAAACTTTACCTGGGAATAATTCAGGTGAGTTCCCATAAATATAAACCAAAAGTAGTCCAGAGACAGTTAACAGTACAGACAATTGATTTCCAGGGACTGGAAATGCTTCCAAGCACTATTTAATTTACTAGTACATTTAATTTACGTGCATGAAGACCTCTTAATGCCTGCACCACCTTGAGTTCTTCATGACTCTTTTCTAGGTCTTCATTAGCTTGTCATTCTTCCCCCTTTCTTCTCAGAGATCAAAATAATTCTACTGATATGAACCACATCAGCCACAGCTTTTAGGAGACTTTTCTCTGGCTTGACATATTAACCTCCATTTTGTTCCAAAAGGGACACAGATCTCAAGTTTCTTCAGGACTGTTTTCAGCTTTATGTCTGTATGGTATTTCTCTGCTCCTGGAAAATAAAACACTGCTCTTTCCCCTAGCTAAGCCCTGCTGGTGGACATGTCTTTCAACTTCAAGGAGTCTTCAGAAACACACATCTGCATCTGCCTCTTTCATGAGAAATGCCAGATCTCACGGGGCTTTTTCCCCCTGTTCCCCTTCTGCTCAACTATCTTCTATTTTCTACCGTTCTTCAA